TTTTTTTTGATATTTTTCCTAGAAAGATCACAACCTAATCTACGGGATCTCAAATTTTCAGAATTTTTCCTCAATTCGTCTGAACGCGAAAAATCGCCACATTTGGTGCTTGAAAAGTGCAGGACTAGACCCGCCTGCCACACTGTGCAACGTTAGGATTTGGACACACAGGCACATTCTGACCTCTCAGCTGCCTGACGTCGGATACACTTCATAAAGAAGCAGTCCCCAAAATCAGACAGGGACCCAATCTACCTGTGTGGTTAGGGCAGTTGCATATTTCAAATCAGTGTGTAGGTTTAAACCCCAACATCAACCATTCATAGCGAACTTCAAAATATTAATGTGTGTGTGTGTGTGTGCGTGGGTGGGCTCAAAACAAAACGACACGCCAGAAGGAAAAAAGATAAATAAAAATTTGCAAAAAGAATACAAAATCAAAAAGAAAAAATGGGGCCGGGGCACGAAACAAAATGACACACCAAAAGGAGAAAAGAAAAACTAAAAGTAGAAAACAGAAATAAAAATTTGCAAAAAGAATACGAAATCAAAAAGAAAAAAAAGGGGCCGGGGCACGAAACGACACTTTCTTGCAATCCGACGGCGGGCGCGTTCAGATATTCATGCGCATCGACGCCCGTCGTGTGCCCGGCCCCGTGGGCGTGCTCTCTCATTCAGTGGCGCGCTGTGAACAATTTGGTACGTGCGCCACTCTGCACAACGCCCCTCCCTCGAGCGCCTTCATCCGCCGGCCCGAATCAAAACTTCGGGCCGATTCCGGCGCGCAGCGGAACACGACCTCCCCCCCGCGGGCCCACCGCACGTAAGGGGTAGGATAGTACTGTAATACCGTATTCAGTTTTTTTTTTTTTTTCCAGGTTTTTATGGAGTCTGTAAGTATTTTTTTTAATTTTAGTGTCAGGGCAGCGTATTGATTTTGTGACAAATTATTTTAACTTCTTACACAACAGTTGGAATGAGGATGAGTCTGTCAACAAATGCAAACAACACACATGCACCTGAGTGCAAGTTTGTGGGTACCACAACATTTGTCATTTTGCGGATTTTTTCTTCTTTTTATTTTTCCTGATTGCTCTGAACACGTCATTTTAGTTCCAATAAGATGATGTGCTCCACAAGTGAAGGTTTGGTAAACTAGTCCATGAGTTATCCATGACTCGTTTGTTTTCTCCCTTTTTTTAAGTTTTTTTCCTTTTTTTCCTTTTCTCTCCCTTTTTTTTTCTTTCCCTTTTTTTCCTTTTTTTCCTCTTTTTCCTTTTT